TACCACTGGGTTGGTGGAGGAGCAACTCAAATCAATTTCCTGTTCTTTCGGCCATAGCTCGAGACGTGCTAAATGTGCCGATTTCAACAGTCGCATCAGAGAGCGCATTTAGCCAAGCAAGACAACAACTAGGAGATACCCGTCATTCACTAGGCAGCAACTCTTTGGAAATTCTAGTGCGCTTCAGAGATTGGATAAGATCCGAACGGAGAAATCAAGGGCATGACAAGGTAGATGAAGCAGAGGACCAAGAAATTTGAGATATAATGATTTATGGTTCCGATTCAACCAATGCCGAAAACCAAGAACCGCATGTTGACATGGATGAACTTACAAAAATGATGCAAAGCATGTGATGTACTGTTTTTATTTTTTGTAATTGTTGTAAACTTTTAATTTGCAAGTTCAAAAATAAAAAATAAAAAAAGAACTTGCAAATTTATTTGAATTATTATATATTATTCAATAAAAATATCAAATGAAAGCCTTCGGAGCTTGATCCTTACATATTGCCTATTGGTCTTATTAGATAATTTTTTGTAACCACTTAAAATTCAAATTTCAAATTTGAAAGTTGAAACTTTAAACTTCCAAGTTTAATTCTAAGCCTTAAAAGTTTGCTAACACTTAAATATCAATAACAGTAAATCAGAAAAACAAAATGTACTTTTAAAAACAAAAATTAGCTCGGCCCGACCCGGACCTGATAATTCCGAATCCGGACGGGCCCAAAAAAGCCCGAAAATGTACAACCCGCTAACAGCCCGCTAACCAGCCCGGAACGTTAAACGGACGAGCTGGTTTGTTTTGCGTTCAGCCCGTCCCAACCAGCCCGTTAAATACCTTTACATCATATTTTACCAAATATTAATCTCCCTAAGCAGTAGTGGCGGAGCCAAATTGAACCAAGGGGTGTCAAGTGATACCCCTTCGCCGAAAAATTACACTATATTGCTAGATAATTTTATTTTATTTTATGTATATTTACTATACGTTGACTCCCTTTAACTTTTTGATATATCTAATTATTTATATTTTGACACCCCTTGATGAAAATTCTGGCTCCGCCACCGCTAAGAAGCAGAGGTAAGAAAGAAACTTTGACCACGAATTCATATATAGTAGTCTCACAAATCTTATACTAGTTCAGTTGTACAGTTGAACTTTAATGTAGAAATTAAACTTGGGGCAGCATTACCTAATCGCCTATGTTGCAACTTAGTTACAAATGTGCTTGAATAATTAGAAATTATGTCTCAGTAATTACAATCCAATAAAAGCAAAAAAGAAAAATATGAATACCACGTATAAAATGGTCAAATTTTGTACGGAGGAAATATGTGACTTAAGTTCTTAATGTATAAGCCCTATATGTGGGTTTTGTAGACATGAAATAAATTAAACGAAAGTCTACAGAAAATTATTAATAATCAAATGATTAAATTTCAGTAATTTAATATAATTTGATTAGTACATATAATCTTAAAATTTGAGGAATTAAATAATTGTTTATTGTTGAATTCGAAATCTAATAAGGAGAACAATTACAAAATTTTAGTGACATAATTATCCTTTTAACGCAATTACAAAGAATTTCAGGTTAGAAAAGAATATGATAGGAAACTTTTATTACTAATTAAGTAATTATATTAGAACTATGACAAACGATCGATTACTTGTTTGGAAAGAAATATAAGACCTAATTCTTGTTTGGTAAGGATTTTACCAAAGGGAAAATGAACTCTATATATTAGGGTTTCTTCCAACGTCAAAAAACAACAATTCATAGAACGTAACATACTTTAAAAGAAAATCTTGATATCTTCTGCTGTCTACTGTGTGTGATTTTCATAAGAAAGAATATGAATATGCAAAAAGTTGGTCCAGTTGGAGGATATGGTGCACGCAAACTTTCAACAATTTGGAGTGAAAAGGGACGAGACCAAGTTGCCGGTTTTCGTATTACATACGGCAAACACTCAGTTTATTCACTTCTGTTCATGTACTATGAGAATGCCAGATTAGTTTTATCAGACAGACATGGTGATTGTGATGATGATGAAAAAAGAAACTACGTTCCCGTTGTTTTTGATTATCCATCAGAATATCTTACTTCGATAAGTTGTTCAGTGAAACACGGGCCATTATTAATGTTCATGGCATCCATAAAATTTGGAACACACAAAGGTTCCTATGGACCATTTGGGAGCCCTTCAACTGATGGCAATGATATTGACTTCGACTTATTGATAGGAAATCGTCGTTTATTTGGTGGTTTTCATGGAAGTGAGAATTGCTATGGCGTTGGGAGTATTGGGGTCTATTTGAAGACAGAAAGCAATGATCAAGAAGGATCTTCGAGTAATAAAGCGTCGAAAATGACGAAGATCTATTAACTCATCAAATGTCTTTATGATTTTGCTAAATATTGTGTACTTTATGTTAAAATTTTTGGTGCATTCATTTATTGATAAAAAATTATTTACTTATACAAAGTTTAAACAGCCTTCACAAACTTTTGGCTACGCAACTGGTTGTTCTTAAGAACAGAGTGAGGAAAAGGAGAGTGAAAATGATAGTGAAAGAAGTTAAAGCAGAATCTCCTGATGAGAAAAAGTAATATTTATTTCTTTTTATTCATACAATTTTATGATTGTGATTATTCTTTTATAGTTAATGTTTGATTTCATAATGCTGCTTAGTTTTTTCATGTTTTTGGCAAAATTTGTGGGAAAGAAAATTTAGCTTGAATAGTAGCCACTCTGATGTTGATCAAGTATAATTTAAGTTTTATACATTGAAAATGTAATGATTTTTGCATTAGTAATGTAATTTAATCTATTGTAACAAATTACTTGTCGTTATTATGGTATCAATTTCATACACCCTTTTGCTTGTTTGCCACGACATATGGTCCGTCCGGCCATACTCCAAAACTACTTGAGACCGAAGAGAATACTTTGCAAATGAAACACCATTTAAGATCGTGATTTTGGTCGTTAAATAAAGTAGTCTTTTGAAAAAAAATTAAATCAATAATAGGGACACCTTATTGAAAATTGTGATTTAGTAGCCACCAAAATTAAACTGAAAGAGAGAAACTAAGAGTCAGATTCATATTTCGAGGTTAAAGAGGTAAACTGAACGGCTCCAAGTAGTATGTATGTATATATATATATATATATATATATATATATATATAT